TATATATATATATATATATATATATATATATGTATTGGAGGGCGGATATACATTTTCACATTTTTGAAAGGATAGATATGTAAAACCCCATAATATTTGAATGGAGAAATAGTGAAGGCTGCACTTTTGACTGATGTAACTGCTCTCTAATTACTAGTCAGGCATCCAGTTTCATTTAGAAAAAGCCATTTGTTTCAGTTATTTCAGTTTGTCAATTTCTTCCAAGGGGAGCTATCCCTCGATTGTTGAATTCCTACAAGTTTTTGGGGGCATATTTTGCTTATCATATAGTATTCACTATATACCACTGTCCACCAGTTGTTGGATTCAGTTGTGCTTTTGTGTCTTTTATCTAATTTGATTTATTATGTTGTATTTGTCAAGTAATAGTAGAACTGAAAAATTCCCCATTGTTGGTTATGAGATGAAGTTGTTGGGGCTATTTTTTCTTTATCTTGCTGATTGGCAACATAGTAATCTGGCCATTGTCTGTTTTGAGGCAAAAGCAGTGTTGCTGCAGAGTTATAAACAGATGCAGCAGAGAATGGAGGGAAAAAAAAAAACAGAAACAAGCTTAAAGTTAATAGGTTTGGGTGTGACTCAAGGTAGATCTCCTTATATCAAATGTTAATAGGAATACTAGAGCAAATTTTGTATTAAAATGGAGCAACTTTGAGATTGGTTGGGGTCTTCCGTCCATGGATGATAGATAGGATAGGATCAGATCATTTATCATCAGGAAGTTGATATGCAATGGCATCCGATATGGCCCACTACTAGGCCCACTTGTTATGCCAATTGCCAACCTCACCAAGGAGCAATCTAGTTAGGACATTGGTCACAACATATAAGAGGGGGGAGGGTCCTTTAGCATAAGGCTTCCCTTATTTGTGAATAGAGCATCAATGAACCCATTGACATATATTGCTGATGAGAACTAAAGATAGATGAGGCACTAGCTTTAGCTAAAGTCTCTAGCTTTGAAGATATCCAAAATGAAATCCTGGCAAATTTTGTGAAGGGTATTTTCAAAATCGAACTTTAGGAGGCATCCAAATGTGGTCCCAGAAGGATGGGTAACTTTGAAGATATCCATAATGAAATTCCAACAGATCTTGTCAAGAGCCTATTTAATGTGATCTCATACACTGAGCTGGATGGCTTCAGGGCTGTCATGAAGCAGATAGCAAGTGCTCTTCCTTTTAGAATTGTTTATTGCATTGTATGTTTAAGTTGGATGAGTATTGGTCAGTATGTTAGCATTACCCTTTTGAATATCTTGAAAATGGTCCTCAAATCTTCAAAAAAGTTCTACAACACATATTGACGTGTGTTGGTATGTCGGTATATACCAAACCCATTCTGGTCCGGTCAAGGACTGGCATGGGTCCAGTCTCCAAGCCATCAAACTATGATCTTGAAAATCAGTTGCTTAGGCTATCAAGCTAAAAAGTGGTGAATCAGAGATGACTTCTAGCATAAACTATATCACGGACTTAGCTAGTTTTGCCTAAGTCGTGCGGCACCCTTACATGTCCGTCCGTAAAAGTCAGCCTCTCTAAAACCTCCCATGGTCCCTTAGGATCTACAAAAGAGAAAACGGGTTAGGGAAAGCGCCTCACTCGAGATCCACAGGCAAACATTTCAGAAAATACTACATAGACAATGCAAATTAT